TTCTGAGAGCCCAGACACATGAAAAACGGAGGCAGAAGATGAGGTGATAAAAATGAACACGACCTTATAAAGAAAGTTCAATTAACACAACTGGCAATGGAGCCTTTCAGTGAGTGGTTGAACATGAGAAGATCATTTAGGATAAAGAATGTCTGAAATCTTGCTATAACAGGGCAACCCTTCAGCTAGAAGCATCAGGGATGTTTGGCCACTTGTTAGAAATGCTGCGTTCTTTTGACCTCCTGCGGCTTGAGAGCACTGGTTTAGAGCATGGTTTTCTAGACATAGATCCAAGCTCAGCCCTCTGCTGATTGTGAACTTGATCCTGCCACCTGTCTTCTCTGGATATCAAAATCATCAGCAATAAAGCTGACCTGGATGCAGTCCCAGTTCTTGGGGGTGGTAATGGTGGTATTTAATTACAGAGTACATCTTCCAAACTGGTTACTGTATCCCTTATCCTTGGATGGCCAACTATTAGTCTAGGCTGATGGAAAAGAACTCTAGGCTCCCCAAAATAGCACTTGAAGCAGATTAGCTGACTCAGTACAGGATTAGCTTGGGCATCAAGCTAATAATCTTGTTTCCTTTCCATGGTAAGATCAAAAATAAGATAGTCTTAGAGACTAGACCCAGACACATATAATTCCACAAGGTCTTACCTTAAAGCTTGATGAAGATGACCCAAGTGTGTATAATGTATGTGTGTGTGCGCACGTGTGTGTGTGTGTGTGTGTGTGTGTGTGTGTGTGTGTGTGTGTGTGTGCTTGAGGACGGCATATAGATAGTGACTTACAGCTGAAACATTTTTGGTGTTTGTGTTGGGGCTCAAACTCAGGGCCTAGGTGCTGTCCCTGAGCTTTATTTTCCCCCTCAAATCTGGCACACTTCCATTTGTGGCACAGCTCTTCCTGCTTTGTAGTGATTAGTTGGAGGTACAAGTCTCATGGACTTTATTGCCCAGGTAGGCTTTAAATCATGATCCTCAGATCTCAGTCTTCTGAATAAACAGGATTATAGGCATGAGCCACTGGTGTCTCTATTCTAAAAGTCTTAATTTGCTGGACATATTAACCTATGTCTGTCATTCCAGCTTTGAGGGAAGTATAAATGGAACTGTGCGAGATTAGGCCAGCACAGGTATATATGCAAGGCCTTGAAGCATGAGTGTAGATGTTGAAACCTGTCTTGGAAGCACAAGGCCCCAAGTTCAAAACTAAGTGCCTCCCCCAAAAGTCTTAATTAAGAGAAAAGGCCTCAACTGTACACAAGCACTGTGCTGCCTTTCCAAACAACAGACCTATGAAAAGTGGTAAAAGTGTATCTAAACAAGTTCTTGACTAAATAATGAGAAGGATTGTTGCATGTGAAACCAACTCCTTGCTCTATGCTACAAAGATTTCATAATTAGCTATTGAGGGGCTTTCCATACATCTAAACTACGGTTCTTTTGAGAAGTGGAAGAATTCTCATTAAAAAAAAAATAAACTGACACCTGAACTGGGTCATTCTATGGAGCAGTTATTTCCTTCTGTTCAATGGCTATCATCATGGCACCTGTCTATATATATAAATATACAGAGAGAGAGAGAGAGAGAATTGTAAAGATACTGTTCAGAGGGGTCACAGTTACGTGAGCAAGGTAATGAGTCCATTTCCTATTGAGTTTTCGTTTTTCCCCTACCATCCCTTTCCTCCCCACCTCCCCAACTCCCCTCCCTGCTCACCAAAGTTGTAAAATTCCTTTTCAACATAGTGTCTTTACATCTCGTTGTTACAATGGGTCATCCTGTATCCTTATCACAGCATTTTGTTATTTCCCTTCTCCTCCCCAAATTAGAAAAATGTATATACAAGATACAGGACACTAGCATCAAATACAATGACAACAGGAGTTATACCATGGGGGAAGAACATACAAAGAAACAAAATAAATCCCATAATACATTATAAGTACATTAAAAAAGAGCAAGAAAGATAAAATCTCTTGTCTGACTAGATTTTATAGAAAAAGAATAAAATTCAAGAGAAAAGAGCCCAATATACTTGGTAGAAAAGAACAAAGGGTTGGAGACAAGGAGACCTGAGTTCTAATCTCAGCTCAATTCCTAACTTCCTTTGTAACGTTCACAAGTCCTTCCCTCTCTCTCGGGTTCCTGTTTCCCTATAGACATGAAGAACTAGTATCTATTGACACACTAATTACAAATATAGTATTGCCCATGTACTGAGCATTTTGTATAACTCATACATTTTCTCTTGGATTTAAACACCACCTAAGCAATATCAGATAGTGAATTTCTAACTTCAGCTAAAACCTGTTCTTTGACTTATGGACCTGACGTGAATCTTTACAATTTTGTGTTGCTTTTGCTTATATTTTACATGCTTCCCTTTAAAAACGTTTTTGTATGGGAAGCTTGGCTCAGTCGCCCTAGACATAGGTGGTGGGGGGCCTCTAACACCCCTTCCAGTATCCAGTGTTGTCAAGCCAAGTGTCTATCATGGCTCTCTGAGCATCAGCAATTGAATGCCACAGTGCTTATGCTAGAGGTAAGAACTCAGAGGCATCTTGCCTCAGCAACAGACCAGGCTTCTCTGCCTTTCTGATACTTCCTTTATGTGGATCATTAGAACATTTTCTGGTAAATTTGAAGTGATTCATACCATATTCTCTAAAGACACTCCTATTGACCTCCCTCACCTCTTCCTCTGCCCAATTCCTCATTCCTATCTTCTATGACTGGGGTGAAGGACCTCCTTCCTGACTCATTCCATCCTCCCAGCTCAGGATGTATAACAGAATAAGTCTTTGAGTTTATTTCCTATTGTGTGTGGGGGAGGGGTGGACCGCATGTGTGCCTCTCATCTAAAGACCAGACTACCCCAGATTGTATTTTCTCCCAACATAATGTAGAGAAGAAAAACTTGGGCTCTAAACACCAGAGAAAATATTTAGGCAGGTATGAAGTAGATATGGTTAGATAAGACCATCCTTCCTAGAAGGACATTTTCTGTGTAAGGAACTCACAGTTCAGACAACAAGAAATCATCCTTTCCACCAGATATACTGCGTATTCCATGGAAGGTGCATTGTAAAGCTATCCACTCATTTTCTGTGGGGACAGGGTTACTAGCTGCCCTGGAACTGGACACCAAGGTAGCTGGGGCTCTCAGGCCAAGAGCCAAATGCCCATTCTCCTTTTCTACTCTAAGATGCTCAGTAGTCACCTTGAACTCATATTCAGAACACTGTTCTTTATTGTCCCCTTTCCCCACCTGCCACCTCTCCCATGGCATCCTCTGAGTGAAGAAATGATAGCTCATAACAGCTGTCAGTGGCTCATGCTTGTAATTCTAGCTACTCAGGAGGCTGAGATCTGAGGACTAAGGTTCAAAGCCAGCCCAGGCAGGAAAATCTGTGACTCTTACCTGCAATTAACCACCAGAAAACTGAAGTGGAGCTGTGGCTCAAAGGAGTAGAGTGCTAGCCTTGAGCAAAAGGAGCTCAGGGACAGTGGTCATGCCTGGAGTTTAAGCCCCACAACCACGCGCACACACACACACACACACACACACACACACACACACACACACACACACACACACACACACACACAAAAAATGATAGCTCAAGTTTTCATTTGAGTCTACTCTATTTGTCTCATCCCATATATAATACCAAATTCTATCAAACCTAGACTCAACATCATCCTGGGTCTGATAATTCTCACCATTTGATTTTCCTTCAGCTCCATGTGTCAAGTCACTACCAACTTTTGCCTAGATCAGAGTAAAAGAACACTTGTACACTTACTACTGGCATTCCCCAGAGAGCAGCCAGAGTGTTCAGACCACATGGTCCCTGGCCCAGATTCTCCAATGACTTTCCAACCCATTCAGAGAAAAATCCAAAGTATGCAGAATCACAAAGTTTGAAAGCACTCTGAACCCTTAACCTTCTATTCCTCATTTCATCTTCTAGTCTTCTCTTTCCTCATTCTCACCCGGCCATCCTGGACTTCTTGCTAATGTTGAGCACATGACCTGCTATAGAGCACAGATCCTTGTAGCCACCTCTATCCAGATCTTTCCTTCTACCCAGATATTGACATGGTTTCCTCTGATCTTATATTTGAGTTACCTACTCAAGTGTCACCATCTCTAAGAGACCTTCCCTGACTACTCTCTATACTGACAACTCCTCCCCTTGTCCACACAACACATACATTTACTTATTTGTCTACTGCAGCATTTTCAAATGAAACTTTCCAAGTATTATATATTTGTGTTGTATGAAAAGGTAGAAGTCTATAATCATAGGAGGCCATAAAACACTTGAAATTTGGCTAGTTTACTAGGGATATGAACATTTAATTTTTTTCCATTCTTATTAATTTACAATAAACAGACACATATGGCTGGTGGCTCCTAGACGAGAGAGACCATGCATATTTGCCTATCTCTAAGTTCATTAGGCAGACATTTTGCTTATTTTGGTCACTTCAGGGTCCTCAATAACTAAAAATGTACCGGCTATCCATGAAATACCTGAGAAATGAATGCATAAGTGACAATCATAAGAATTTTCCAGGTCTTATCTCAGTTAATGTGTACAGCAGGCTCACAGGTTAGATTCATCCACAGGTTAGATTCATTCTCTGGTTCTAGAAGATGCCCAGGATCTTGCTAAAGAACGCTCGGGCAGCAAGGAACAGATTGGATCTGTGTCATTTGCACATGCTGCATTGGAGCAGTTGACCTAAATGTTCTCTGTGGTCTTTTCTAACTTTGACGTTCTGTGATTTCTAACTATTTTCTCCCTTACCAGGAGATGGTAATACATAGCATAAGCTTTAAGTTAGAAGACCATAGACCTTTATTTACATCAAGTCTTCGTCAATGATTCAGAATTCTTCTGGGAAGAGGAATGCAGACCTTCCTCCAACCCCTACTCTCCCCAGATCCCTCTGTCTCCAGCCCCGCGGCCCACGGCTTACCGGTTTCTGGGTCACAGAGCTGTTCACAGGCATCGGTTGTCCTCTGCCCACAGAGGTCCCTCACCCATGGAGAGGTGGCGTTGATCTGATAATACAGGGACAGTTTAGCTGGGTTCAGCCAGTCGGATATGTCCAGGTAGCTCCCTTCACTCACCACGAAGCTGCTCCCTAGGAAAACAGAGAGAGACCACTATTTTCTCCCACGTTTCAGAGTACCACTGCTCATACTATGTAAATAGAGGTTTTTACAAGCTAGCATCCCCTTTCCGGCTAATCTCATTTGTTTAAAAGCATTTGCAGAACCTTCACCTGCTCCAGGATGGTGCTAGAAATTAAGAGAGCAGAGGAAAATGTGGCACAGGACAACCTAGTGTATAACAGTAAGCTTAAGCTGAGGGGGACGTGGGTTCAGATCCTGGGTATGTTTTTCTTGGCCACTTGTTGCTTCTGGGCTTTGACAACTTCATCTATGAATGGAAATATTAATGAGATCCACCTCAGCTAATAGAATGAAGCAGATTCATGTAGATAAAGTGCTTAGTCAGTGTCTGGCTTGTTCTAGTAAAGAATAATTAAGTGCTAAATTTAAAAAAAGAAAATAAAAGTTAATGTCTCTGTCATATGGTATTTCCCCCCTGGAATATGGTCACAAATGCCCCAAAGTGGCTATGTTGGTGACATCTGTGAGAAAGACTGGTTTGTGTGTAACAGAAATAACATCCAGGCCTACTTCCCTCGCGTGTGTTGTGATTTTTGTTTTTGTTATGGTGAGAGGGGGCATTAAATGTGGAGCCTGGAATTTACTAGAAAACTATTCTACCAGTGAGATAGACTCCCAACAACACTTTTTTTTTGGTTCTGAGATAGAGACAGATAACAAGAGACAAAATCATAGAGTTTTTCAAAGAAATCTCCAGCACTTTTATAAAAAATATGCCAGAAATGCCTGATGCTGAGAAATAACAGGACAGGCAGGGTTGAGGATCAAAGAGACATGAGAGGATTCATCCTAAAGGAACAGCTAGGAAGCAGCTCCTGCTGGCTCTCACCGCCAGGGACTAAAATCCAGTGGCATCAGATCACATTGTCCTCCAGGGGGATTGAAAATTGAAACTGTTATTGTAACCAACCAGTTTTTAAAATAATGGCTTACATGTGTTCCTGAAAATTCATGTAGGACTTTTTGTTCTGAAATGCTTCTCACTAACTCATCTAGACAGATAAATAACATAGACGCACGTACACATGTATGTGATATTATATTAGATAATACCAACTGTAATACAATAATTGTATCACTACACAATTATATACAGATACATATGCATTGTATACAGCTGTACATACACATATGCAGGCACAGTTTTGGAGAGCAAGAAATAGAAGCTCATTCAAGATGAATGCATATGGATTGTAAATGGTGGAATATGTAGATAGCAGAAAAAAAATGAATGAATTTTGTGGGGTGAATAGTATGAGGCCACATAGGACCCAGCTTCACAAAGCGGGGAACTGGCTGATCAAGGAACCTTTTACACAGAGAACAAAACACTGCTCTATAATTAATGTGACCCAGACTCTCCTCTGTGTCTGCCCTTCTCTTCCTATATCAACCAAAACCAATCTTTCTAATGATATAATTCAAATTCCCCAAAGAGGGCCTCCATTGGTAAGTATCATATGGATTAGACAGGGACCTCTCTGTTAGGCCCCATGGGTCTCTGCTGTTGGTTTATGGTTGGACTTGTCTTGGGTCAGGTGATTTCCTGTGGTCCAATGGGAAATGGCCAGGGAAGAGGGTTAACATACACCTGGCTGCCAGAACCTCTGAGGCCGTGAGTGGAGACGTTTCTCTGCAAAGGGCAAGGGCCTGGCAGACTTGCTTATCTTCTCTGACTCACGGGACATGATTTATGTTACGCTACAAGATGAATTCCCATGTGACAGCACAGAGGACAGCACAGCTTTCTCTGGGGATGCAAAAGGCATCTATATGAAGCAACATGGATAGATAGCATCAGGCTTTCAGATAAGGAAATGACCACATTTGAAGTTGGTCCTAAAGTCCTCGGAAGCTAAAGCGGGGAGAAAAAAGAAAAGAAAAGAAAAGAAAGAATTTTTTTAAGGAGACTGTAGGATTCCATATTTCAAAATTTCTGGCAAGTGAAGATATGCTAATCTATCTGCAAAGCCATATTTCCCCCACTGGAAGAAAGCCCAAGGAGAAACAGATCACATGGGTCCTTGAGCAAGGCAGCGAACACCAGTTTCAACTGCAGATTTTTCTTTTAAAAAGCACAGTCATGCTGTTTAAATGGATAATTCTTGTATTTATTCTCACTAAAGACTGAGGAATGGATATTGAATTGTGTCCCAGGGCTGAATTTGGCTAATCCAGCTACTACAGGAAAGCTACACTGAGCAATGATAAAGGGAGCAGTCAGCAAAAGAGGAGTTCAGGTCCTCACTGAGTTACTTACTCACTCTGTAAGTTTGGGCCAGAAAACCAATTTGTAGTCACTGCCTATGAAAAGCATGGATATAAATTCCCCTTCCGGGACTCATATAAAGATCACATGACACACAACTGGGTCTTGGTGGCTCATGCTTGTAATCCTAGCTACTCAGGAGGCCCAGATCTGAGGATCACAGTTCAAAGCCAACTAGGGCAGGAAAGTCCATGAGAATCTTATCTCTAATTAATCACAAGAAAACCAGACGTGGAGCTGTGGCTCAAAGAGGTAGAGCACTAGCCTTGATCAGAAAAGTTCAGGGACAGTATCCAGGCCTTGAGTTGAAGCCCATAAACAATAAAACAAAACAAAGCAAAAACAAAAACAAAAACAAAAAAACCCAAACATAAGACACAGTGAATTTGTCTTAGGCCAAAAACACCATCAAACAGATTCAAACATCTACACATACAGACATCTGAGAGGTTTGGGGGTGGGGGGTACATTCTTATAAAGAGTGAGCAAAGTAAGATTGGGCTGAGAAGTCAAGCTATCATGTGGTCACAGCTGATCCTCTGGGGTGTTCAGTACTAGATGGTCCTCTGGAGTTGTTGAAATCAAGATGAGCCTTTGTAGTTCCATACTGGCCATTCATAGGCAGTAGACTATTACTGGTGAAGACACATAACCTTGGATGAACTGGTCCTTTTCAATGTTTCAGGAAGAACTCATTGGAGGAACAGTGGTCCACCAATGTTCTTGGAAGCTGGGGAAATGAATGCCTTAGTGTGACCTGGAGCTATCTTGATTGTTGTTTGGATTTCTTATACATTTGGAAGCTGTGAATTCAATATCAGTTAGTAGATTTCATATATGAGATACAACAGTTTCCTTGGGAGGACTTATTCAAAAAAACAGGTGAAATACATTAAATATGTGTTTCCAAAATTCATATAGTGAAATCAAATCCCCAATGTGATAATATTTGGAAGCGGAGGCTTTGGGAAGTCTTTAGGTCAGTGGCGCCCTTATGATTGACATTAGTGCTCTGATAAAAAGAGAGACAGGAAAGCCCCCATACCCATTCTGTGATTTGAAGACACAGTGAGAAACTGACCTTCTGTGAACCAGGAATCAAGTTCTTAGCAGACATCACATCTGCCAACACCTTGACCTTGTACTCTCCATTCTCCAGAACCACAAGATATGTATTTTTGTTGCTTACGCGCTACCACGGCTATGGGCTTCTGTGATATCAGCAGGAATGGACTAAATCAGCAGTTTATCCTTAGCTTCTTTAAAAGGATACTTGGAGAGGTTTACACTTGGCTTAATGGTAAGAGGGAGCTATTGTTCTTTAAAGGTACCCTGTGTTCATTCCAGGGATTCAATGAGCATTTTGTTTATTTAATATGTTCAATAGCTTTAAAGGACAGGTATTTCTCTATTTTACAGAAGGAAAATACAGGGTTCAGAGAGAAATGTTAAATCTGTATAATTAGTAAGTAGAAAAGTGAAAACAAGCAAGAGATTATTTTTGTTCTTGTTTTTTTCTTCCCCCTTCTAACTACAAAGCTGGAACCTTCCAATTATTCCAGGAAATCTTGAGCATCACAGGATTCTATTGGGTAGCTTTCTGTGGCCCTCCCCCTCCCCCTACAGCCATCCCTTCCTTCCTCTATTACATAGTGTTGGAGAGGCTGTTTCCGCAGACGGAGTGTGAGCTCCTACAGAGATCAGGCCATGACTCATTAGTCCTTATCAATCAATCTCTCAGCAAAATGCCTGTCACATACCAGGAGTTTACTGAATGTCAAGTGCATTAATGAAATCAAAGTTCCCATGTGCAACTGGAGGAAACGACAACTCACAGGGATGTGAAGTAGGAAGGGTGCTACACTTAACTTTCTTCTTCTTCTTTTTTTTTTAATCTTAGGAAAGTTAGAGAATAAGGCTACTCTTCAGAGTCTCCCTTGTTCCCAACTAAAATTTGAACCTCATTATCATGGCTCCTGAGCTCTCATTCACCAGCTCAGATTAGGGATGTGGGTAATAAGTAGAGAAACAGGGAGAGGGGTTGCCTGGAAAGGGATACAGAGAAATGCCATATCAGATAGGGAAAGGAAGTGAGTACAGGCTAGGTATAATGTATGCATTGAACCAACACTTAGAATTTGGCAGGGTCCACTGAGAACACTGCAGACAAATAAGGCAGAACAAATGTATGCAGGGACAAACCAGAGCATGGTTAGCTCCATTTGGAATGAGTAGGCAGATTAGCCTTTGGATACCAGAAGAAGGTAAATGGAAGCATGAAGAAGCAATGAGAATTGGCCTTTAGGGTAAACCTTGAGAAACGAGGAACCAGAGGAAAATTGACATGAAGGAGCCAAAGAATAATGAATTCTTTCCTCCAGTACATAAAGCAACTTGTATGACATTTTACCCCTGAAATCTTGACTCTGCCTGGCTCATATTTCTCAAATACTTGTAAGGAATTTTGCTCAGCGAGAACATACCTACGCCATGTTATAAATTCATTCATGCACGCAGTTAGGTATTACTGTGTATTTTGCTCTGGTGCACACACACACGCGCGCACGCACGCGGACACCCAATTTCAAGGCTTGAATTCAGGGCCTGAGTGTTGTTCCTTAGATTTTTGCACTCAAGGCTATCACTTAAGACACAGTTCCACTTTTGGCTTTTTGCAGG